AGAGACAGCCTTTAGTTCCTATTAGTTCTTATTCTTGTAATTATAAAGTTCTATAATAAAGTATAACCTTTTACACTATAAACGAACTCCCTATTTTAAGCGTGTCTTGTTTGATTGGATTTCAGTTATAGTTAAACGTACTTAATCTCCCTAACTGCAAATCATAGTTAATCTATTCAACGTATCGAATTGATTAACAAGTGGTGATTCCTGCCCGGTAAAAGGCTATACTGTGAATTAACAATTGATTTCCTTTCTCAGACGAACTTAAGAATACTTGCAGACGAACTTGCAGACGTAATTTCTTTTCTCAGACGAACTTGAGATACTTGCAGACGCACTTGCAAACGAAATTTACTTTCTCAGACGTACTTGAGATATTTGCAGACGTACTTGCAACTTTTGTGTATGTTACTTGAACAACAAGAAGCGACTTCAGTCCAATATCTTATTCAACACTTCAATCGCGAAATTCCTACTGTAATTGATCATTCGTGCACTATTTGCTATCCTACACCTCAAACTGTAACTATACAATTCAGAAATTTTTGGAATTGGTTAGAAACATATTATCGTGCAGAAACTTTTACTCTATATACTGTACAAGCTCTACCTATTTATTGTGCTGCTTTTCAAAACGACTCAAATTCTACTAAGCCACCCCAAGTAGTTGACCTTGCATTAAAAATATTACTTAGTATTTCTTATTTTGTGCGTCCAGACGTATTAGAAGATTTAGTATATTACTTCTTAAATTTTACTTTTCGAACCAATTATTTTAATAACCCTGTCACCCCTGAATTAATTAACACTTTTAATGCTGATTTAGTTACTGCTAATAATTATCCATTATCTAATTATCAAGCCCCTCCAAATAACCCCTTATTAAATAATCCACCTGTTAATCAAAATAATAACGCCAACATGAATGAAGGTCAGATGAAAGATCTTATGAAGTTAGTTTGGGGAGCTGACCCAATAAATAATACTAACCCCAGAAATGTTGGAGACCTTTTGGAAAATACTTTGAATAATAATACAACTGCTATTACTAATGCTTTACAAAATAATCTTAATGCCATTAACGCTCTTACAACTGCCAACCAAAATCGTACCACATCTAAAGTTGTAGATGTTCCCTTTTTCTATGGACGTGATGATGAGGATCCATACGAATGGTGTCGACTCTTTGAAGCTGCCTTTGCAGCTAATGGATGGCCAGATAATCGAAAAATTGCTTTAGCCGCTGGATTTCTTAAGGAAGCTGCCTGAGATTGGTATGAAGAGGATAGAGGAAATATCAATCAATGGCATATAGATGCCAATGCAAATAATTTTGATACCCGACTTATAAACTACTTTGCAACTGCTGCTCGAAGAAATCAATGGACCAGAGAATTGCAAAATATTAAACAAGAAGACAATGAATCAGTAGAAAACTATTCTCGATGTTTTAAAAAGTTGTTAAATAAAGCTACACAAGGAGAAGCTTTAGCCGCAAGATACCAAATTAACTACTATATTAATGGTCTCAAGCCCTTCTTAGTTGGACAGGTAGTAATTGGAAATACTGATACTTTGGAAGCAACCATTACCCGAGCCAAGTTAGTAGAATTAGGTGTAAATACTACTCTTTTAACTACAACACCTGTAACTACTAGTACTGCAGAACCTATTCCAACTACTACTACTACTACTGTTAAACCAGCTCCACAAGTAGATGGAATGGAAGCATTAACAAAACAAATGCAACAACTCGCTCTTAATTATGCAAATCTTTCATCAGTTTTAATGGTTTAACAAAGCACTCCTCGAAATACTAGACCTAGACCTAATAATAATAATAATCAAAATCATCAAAATGGTCAAGCCCCTACTCAGAATTCCTTCAATCCAAATATTACTTGTTTCAGATGTGGAAATGTAGGACATATTTCCAGAAATTGTCAAATGGGAAGAAATACCAATAATGGAAATATTAATGGTAATAATAATAATAATAATCGCCCTCGTCAAAGAGCTCCAGTTACACCTATTAATTATGCAGATGATGAAGCAGAAATTTACTATGATGAATATGAGGATGAATATGAGGAAGAATGGGAAGAAGAAGACGAATATGAAGCATATGTTACAACTCGTTCTAGATCTGTTCCATACGAGATATCTTCTCCTAGAGGAAAAAGAACAAGATTTTCAGAATCTCGAAAGGAAGACCAATTACGTACCCAACCTATTCCTCCAGTAACTCCTTCTACACCTATGGATATGGATGCTACAGCAGAACCTTCAACAAAAAGAAAAGTAAGAACCAAAATGGTCCCTGCACCTATTGAAAATGTCAATGAATTTGACATAGCTAAATATATTAGTGACCTACCTTGTGGTCTATCTATTGGACAAGCTACAGCTCAACTTCCTGTTTACAGGAAAGGATTAATTCAAAGTATGAGGAGAAAGCGTGAAAAGATTGATAACAATAATTATATTGGAGAAAGTTACTATGGAGACTTCAACTCAGAAGAAGAAACTCCCATTACCGCTGCTAAATGTGAATTTCATATTAACCAACAACCAGTTATTGCAGTAATTGATAGTGGAGCTGCAGTTAGTATTATGACTACTGCTATGATGAAAACTTTGAAATTAACTATCGATGGACCTTCAGAATATGTAATTAAAACTGCCAATGGAACTAGAGTTAGATCATTGGGAGAAATCCAAAATTTACCCCTAAAAGTCAGAAATTTAATTATTAAAACCAATGTTCAAATTATAGAATCTAGCGATAGTGTTTTCATTCTAGGAAATAACTGGATGAGAAAGGTAAATGCTGCTCTTGACTGGGACAAGAAGACTTTAACTATCAGATACAATGGACGATCCACAACAGTCCCTGTGATTTTTACTCTCCCAAAACCTATTAAAATGAAGCAATCATTTGAGTATGATGACGAAGAGGAATATGAGTCTGAAGAGTTAGAAGAAGCTCAAATTTATATGTCTGATTTTTCTGGTTATTCAACAGAAGAATCCCTTGAATTTAACCCATGGGAAAATGAAGTATCTCCTGCCCACCAAAATAATGAAGATGAAGAATTGAAAGAATAAAATCCTGCCATTTATTTAGCTCAAGCAGAAGTATATAGTGGAGAAAAAGTCAATCCAGATTTACATTTAAAACTGTTAGACTACCATCAACAAAGCCAATTTCAACAACTCTTGAGTGACTATGCAGATATTTGTGCTAAAAGCCAAACGGAAATTGGAAAAACAAATGTAATTAAGCACAAAATTATTACAAAAGATGCTACTCCTATCTCTCAACCACCCTACAGATGTAATCCTAAATATAGAAAATTTTTACAAGGAGAAATCACAAGAATGGAAAGTTAAGGTCTTATACGAAAATCAGCCAGCCCTTGGGCTTCACCTGTAGTAATTGTTGATAAAAAAGGAGGAGAAAAACGTTTATGCATAGATTATCGTAAATTGAATGCTGTCACCAAAGCAGATGCTTACCCATTGCCTCGAATTGATGATATGCTTGAATCTTTTAGTAATGCAACATGGTTTACCACATTAGATTTAGCCAGTGGTTATTGGCAAGTAGCCATGGATCCAGCAGACGTTGAGAAAACTGCCTTCATTACTCCCTTTGGATTATATGAATTTCTTGTAATGCCCTTTGGTTTAGCTTATGCTCCTGGAACTTTTCAACGATTAATGAATAGAATACTCCAGGAGTATCTAGGGAAATTTGTAGCAGTTTATTTAGATGATGTAATCATTTACTCAAAAGGAACCTTAGAGCAACATTTGGATCACCTTAGACAAGTATTTGAAACTTTTAGACGAGCAAATTTGAAGATTAAACTTAAGAAGTGTTATTTTTGCCTTGGAAATATTCATTTCCTGGGACATGTAGTTGGACGAGAAGGCATCCGACCTGATCCAGAAAAAATTGAGAAAATTAGAACTTTTCTGGTCCTAACAAATTTAACACAACTTCGCTCAGCATTAGGCTTATTCTCCTATTATCGAAAGTTCATCAAAGATTTCTCAAAAATAGCTAAACCAATGTTATTACTTTTAAAGAAGTAAACCCCTTTCATTGGACTGAGAAACAACAAACTGCATTTGATTATTTGAAGGAAAGATTAATTAAATCCCCAATCTTAACATATCCTGACTTTGAACAACCCTTCATTATCCATACAAACGCATCTGGAACCGGACTTGGTGCTGTGTTATCACAAATAAGAGAGGATGGAAAAGAATATGTAGTCGCTTATGCCAGCAGATCTCTGAATAAGGCTGAGTGCAATTACCCTATAACTGATCAGGAATGTCTTGCAATAGTGTGGGCTATCAAACACTTTCAACACTACTTAGGATTGAAACCTTTCACAATTGTTACCGACCACTCTGCTCTAAAATGGTTAAAGACATCCAAAATCCCAAAAGGCCGCCATGCGAGATGGGTCATGGACCTTCAACAGTATGACTTTAATATTAAGCATCGAGCGGGAAAAGCAAATGCAAATGCAGACGCATTATCCAGAATGTTTGAAGAAGATAATCAAACTCTTAGTTGTTTCATGATTTCTATTGAAAAAGAAAAACAAACTAATGCAAATGAAAGCTTTACTCCAGTACATGAAGAGTATAATGCAGATTCAGAAGATGATTATACCGATAGAACTGCTCAAAGAGCTATCGATTTGCTAAATCGTTGTAATAATTTATTATACGATATGCAAAGTTACATTGAAGAACGATCAGAAAATAGTTCTCCTATCAATATTATTTCAGGAATTCGATATGATTTCAACAACCCCAATGGACCTCATCCAGAAGATTGTATTTGTAAAGTTTGTCAACCTCCTCCAGCCCGTTCACCATCACTATATAGTTGCTGTAATGAGATTATTTGTCGGTGTAATGAAGATAACTATTCAATTGATACAGAAGAATATAATAATTCATGGGAAAGACAAATGTATGGAAATGTATTCTCTGATTATTCAGAAGAAAATCAGATCAATATTGAAGAATATATCGCCTGGACCATGTATGGTATGGATCGTCAAGCTCTAGAAAATATGTATTTGGAAAATATTAAAATTAAACAAGTAATCGCCGGTCAACCAATCAATCATGGTGGAAGTCGTTGTACCATGGAATGTGATACAGAAAATCATCACATGCATACATATTGTACGATGTGCAAGAAGAATTTATTTTATGGAACTACTATACATGACTGTATCATTGGATTCACTTTAGGAAAAATTAGGCCAGATATGAATCCCAAATTTCTTATTAATAATCAATGGTGGAAAGAACCTCAAGCAGTACAACTTGAAAATAATATCAATTATCTTAAATATATCGAACGATTAATAAATGATTTACCAGTTCACAAAGTATCTTTGGAACCTNAAATGATTTACCAGTTCACAAAGTATCTTTGGAACCTTTCATTGCCAATTTGGACTAAAAGTCCACCTCTTTTACATATTATAATTAACAAAGTATCAAAAGGTGAAAGCGAAAGTGTCCGCATCGTGACGAGATAGCCTAAATTTTCAAAAATAAATATCGAACATTACAATAACATATATAATTATTTAAAATATAATCAAGTACCTTCTACATTAAATAACCAACAACAACAACAAATTCAAAAACAATCAGTATATTTTATTATCAAAAATAATTTCATTTATAAAAAGGATAAAAAGAAACAAAATAATTTATTACGAGTGATTAGAAGACATGAATTGGAACCAGTTCTTTTTATGTTTCACAATGATCCTACTGCTGCGCATTTTTCAGTCGACACAATGTTTGACAAAATTCAATTAAGATATTATTGGCCACAAATGTACAATGACATCAGATCTTATGTCATGTCATGTGACTCTTGCCAACGAAGAGGAAAACAAAAGACAAAGTTACCTTTACATCCTATTCCAGTAGAAAGTCCTTTTCATCAAATAGGAATAGATTTTGTAGGACCTTTACCTATAACTACTAATGGAAACAAATATATAATTACAGCAATGGATTATTTAACAAAATGGCCAGAAGCACGACCTGTAAAAAGAGCTACTGCAGAACAAGCTGCACTTTTTATTTATGAGGAAATAATTTGTCGACATGGATGTCCAGCAAAAATATTATCAGATCAAGGAACTCATTTTAGAAATCAAATAATTGAAAAATTAATGGAAAAATTTCAGATAAAACATTTATTTTCAACGCCATACCACCCTCAAACAAATGGACTTGTAGAAAGATTTAATCGTACTTTATCAGAATCTTTAGCAAAATTATCAACAGATCATATTGATAATTGGGATAATTATATTGTACCAATTTTATTTGCTTATCGTACTACAAAACATTCGACTACAAAAATCGCACCTTTCTTTTTATTATATGGACGAGATGCTAAACTACCAACTGATTCATTAGAAAATAATGGAAATCCAACTTTAATAAATCACATAGAAAATTTAGTTGACCAACTACCTCAAGAAATCGAAATATCTAAGACAAATATTGAAATATCTCAACAAAAACAAAAAGAACGACATGATAGAAAATTACGTCATCAAATAAAATTTTCTATTGGAGATAAAGTCTTATATTATGACGCAGCAAAAGAAAAGCAATGGACTGGAAAACTAAATTCAAAATGGAAAGGACCATACTATATTCATCAAGTTGGAGAAAAAGGAGCGTACAAATTACGAACTATAGATGGAAAAGTCTTACGAACTCCTGTAAATGGAAGTTTATTAAAATTGTATCATGATCGACAAAATTGGGAACCAATAATTGTAGTATAATTAGTCACGATTAAGATCTACAACTCGTGGCAAATAGTTAATTTTACTTAGTATGATTTACAAGTGTTACAGACGATCAAAATGAATTTGTGACACAATGCCCCAGAAAAATTTATTAAAAAGATGAAAAAAAATTTTAGAAATTTTATTGCGAAAAACTTAATGAAAAATTTGTTACAAAAATATATTGGAAAATTGTAGAGAAAATCAAAAAGAGGAAAATTTTATTTAATCAACTTCTTCATAATTAGGATTAGAAGTAGAACCGTTTGACAAAATTATATTACATTCCTCAAAAAGCATTTGTTTTGCTTCTTCAAATGCTGCTTCAGCACGACCTCTACTACTCTGCAAGCTTATATTATGTGAAATTAATTGACAAACTCCTTCTTCAAGACCTTCTATTGTTCGTCGCTGATCAATGATTAATTTTTGGGCTTCCCATAATTTTCGCTGCTCTTCAGCCCAGATTTTATTATGGAACTCAGTATCAAGATTTTTATGAGTCCCCATTTCCAGCAAGTTTTCAAATTTTTCTTGAAGATCTTCTTTTTCTTCCTTAGCTTTCGTAAGGTCCTCTATTAGAAATAAAAATGGAGATTTATGGTCACTCCAAGTTAGTTAAAAACTAAGTGAATAAGGTCGATAGTACAAAAAAGTTCTACAGGTAGAGGCCTTTCAAGACTTAAATATCCTAGAAGTACAAGTACCCC